TGGTGGTTATTCAGACCATAAGATCAAACTTATCTCATACCATGATTAAGGTATTATTTCTTTAAGTTGTTTTATATTACAGATTATTTTATCCTTGATCAAAGGTTCTTAGAAATTTAATTTACAGTCATGTTTTAGCTTCCGTAGACCTCCATTTTGATATTATCTTCATGTCATTCTTACAAAATGTGATCCCTTACTTACTTATGTGTTTTGTGCATTGATAAACCTTTGATTATACATAGTTTCCTTTGATCTACCTTGTACGAATTCTCTTGAGCATTTCTAAGTCTTGTTATTCAAATTCCTGAGATATTTAGAGCCTCTTAGAAGTGTATTTGGTCATTTAAAGTGGGAACTTTTGCATAAAAAATTGTTGTGGTGGACCGATGGACCACCACAAGTAGTTTTGCTTTATCTTGCTCCATATTGATTTTATTTGCTCAATTCTTCTTGCAAACCTTTTTAAATCAATTTTATGGATTCTAAAAAGTTATTTTAAAAGTATAAGAACTTCCTAATTAGATTAGACACCCTTGAGATTATAAACCACTCTTACAACTATTCATTGGGACAAAACTAAGTCCCTAAAAACTTGAATTTGTGGCCTAGGCACAAGAGGTTCGAATCATAGCTTTCTACATATTTATATGCATGTTTATTTACTATATTTACAATTATTCAATGATTCATGGTTAAAGAGATTGTGTATGTTAAGTGAAAAATAGAATCGTACTTCTAATCTTGTAGTATAAGCTTTAATGATATATTTTATTGTTTATGTGAATTAAAATCGTATTCGATTATTATAATCAAGTGTATAATGTGTACGAGACATTGTGATATATGATGAGGATGAAGAAAGAAGATGGATTTATCATATAATTTTGATATAATGAAGAATTGTAAGTGCAAGTCATGTAATATGTCGTCTAAATGTATATTGTGAATATTCTGACATTGTATCTACTATATATATTAAGTGAGAAGACCTGCACTATTTTTATGATATGTGTCCCTTTCCCTATTTTTTCTCTTTAAAAAAGAGTTCAATTGTTACCAAAAGTTCTCACCTCCTTAAAACTCTCCGACAATATCTCTCCGAAACGGTTGCACGCATTGTCTCTCTTTTCAAAAATTTCAAAGCCAAAGGTTCCTACCTCCTTAAATTTAACATCAAGTGTAATATTTTTCTTCTCTCATTTCTTTCTCCCCTCAATCATCTACTCCTTAAATCTCTCTAACTCTATCCTTAAATATCTCTTTCTTTATCACGCTATAAATCTCTCCCCTTCTACTCTTTTCCTTCACTTTGTCTCTCTCCATGCACCCTCTCTCTCTTTTTTTCTCAAATCTTTGTTACAACATCTATCGTTTTCACTTCTAAAATCTTTTTCTCCATTTTCTATCTTATTTAATTTTCTCTATCATATTTTCTCTTATTCTAATTTTGACATGTTTTTTTGCTAGATTGTGATTTACGGCCAATATACCAATTAATCATAGATCTCTAGACGCTGTCAAATTTTGAACATCTTTTTAAAATTTTAGGTAACAAAATAATTTTCTTTTATTTATTGTAGTTTGGTACTATATTTATTTATGTCGTTTTCTTTATAACATCATTATATTTTATTTATTAAATATGTACATTTAATTTATTGTGTGGATAGAAATAAAGAAGAATATCATTTGGCTTGAGTAATTATGGTTCAGTAATTTGAATAATGATAATTTCTAATTGTTGTAGTTTTATACCAGCTAATCGCAGATATCTGGACACTGTCAAATTTTAAACATCCTTTTAAAATATTAGGTAACAAAATGAGTTTGTTTTATTTATTGTATTTTTTGTACTATATTTATTTGTGTTGTTTTTCATTAATTTAATTATATTCCATTTAATAAATTTTTATAACTAATTTATTGTGTGATTAATAAATAAAAAAGAATATACCAGTTAATCATAGATCTCTGGACGCTGTCAAATTTTGAATACCCTTTTAAAATTTTAGATAACAAAATGAGTTTCTTTAATTTATTATAGTCTGGTACTATATTTATTTGTGTCATTTTCTATTTAACCTCATTATATTATTTTTTAAAAATATATAAATTTAATTTATTGTGTGGATTAGAAATAAAGAAGAACACGTGGTTGAGTAATTTGATTAATGATAATCATTTTTTCTAATTGTTGTATGATTGGTTTGGTTTTATATTGTTGTGGTTTTTTATTAGTTAATCATAGTCTCTGGATGCTATCAAATTTAAAATACCCTTTTAAAATGTTAAGTAACGAAATGAGTTTCTTTTATTTATTGTAGTTTAGTATCATATTTATTTGTGATGTTTGCCATTTAACCTAACTATATTTTATTTATTAAATTTATAAATCTAATTTATTGTGTGGATCAGAAATACAAAAGAATATCGTTTGTCTTGATTAAATGTGGTTGAGTAATTTGAATAATGGTAATTTATGTTTATTTTCATAATTATATTATTGTATACGATTATGACAATTATATATTTTAATTAATTGATCTACAAAATATCATTTGACTTGAGTAATTGTGGTTGAATAATTTAAATAATGATAATAGTATTTCCTAATTGTTGTGTTTATTCTCGTAACTAATAGTATTGTATACAATAATGACAATTATATATTTTAACTAATTGATTAGCATAATATTAATTTGATTATAATAATTAATTATAATAATATAATGACACTTACATAAATAATGTATTAGCGTCGTTTATTAGAAATAAACGAATTATATATATTAAAAATATATGCCTTACAATTAATATAAGGAATTAATGAATATAATATATTAAAATGAAAACTTATATTCATAATAATTAACATGGTTATAGATATTGAAATGCATAAATTTAAACTTATATTAGCAACTCGGGGTATTTTGGATATTTGGTTATTTTATTTTCCAAACCACTATCATTTGGGTTTTTTTTTATCTTTTTCTTATAAAAAAAAGAGAAACTAGGATTTTTTTTGCAACGTACTCGAGCCTAGTGGCTCAAATTATCGAAATTCCCTCCATATTCAGAATTTCCAATCTTGAAACATAGGTAATTTTAAAAAAATTGTCCATTTTTCGAGAAGGTAATTTTATCAAGGGTGACGTTTGTATACGGTGCCTCTTTATACTATGGAAGTAAAGCGCACGTTTAAAAGTTTTATGGAGATATAGTTTCGGTGTCAAAAATTGTGGTAGTTTGAAAATCTTATTGATTCTTAATCATGAAATTTAAAATTTTAAAAATGGTACAAAGCGAGCAATTCATAAATACGTAAAATCTTAAGAATAAACAGTCTAGATAATTTGTTATATAATGAACTAAATTGTAGGACTTAAAAAATATTATTATTTGTTTATTTACGCCATACATCTTGAGGTTGTCATAATCAATTCAAATATTTGCCAACTTCAGAACATTTTTGCCTACTGAATTTTTTGATATGCACCTTACATCTATAATATAAAGTTGTAACATTATATAAACTTTTTTTTTTAAACTCTATATTGGTAAATAAGATCATTGAGCCCTTTTAATGATTTAACAAAATAATTTAACTGCTTTAACAATTATTAGCTCTTTTTATCTCATCTCTCTCAAGTAGGGGTAACTTTAAGTTGAGGGGGAGTAAGGGTGATATGCACGGATAACTTCGTATTCTACCAACTATTTTGTGGAATACAAAACAAAATGAGATTGCTTTGTTATATAAAATAGGGAAGATAAAATACGAAATCCCTAACTTCTAGAAAAATTAAAAAGAAATAATAACTTGAACGTAAACAATGAATTTCCCAAAAGTGCTCGATACGCACAATCACAAAACTTGGGACGCAATTAATCTCTACATGGGGTTATTTAGTATCTTTCAATCCTTGGAAACTCACTCTCGAGTTGTTGGTGAGGACGCATAAATGTAGTGAGGCTACGAAAACATGGCCCCATAAAATAAAAAGAGCACATATTATGCTCCAATGCGAGCATATTATATATTTACTCCCTCAAGCAATATACTTTAGATTTTTTTGTACTTAGAAATTTTGGGTTCAATGTAATCATAAATAGATGATTATTTAATAATAAATAAATAAATTTGGAGTTCTTGAACATCTAGATCATTCCCCTAAAAATTAAATGGTTATGGTACAATCCTGGGATACTATTTTTTACGTACATAGAGAGATTTAATTATGTTCTTTTTTTTGCGGTCAGTTGTTATGTTCTAGAGACCGCATCCCCAAAATTTGGGTTCCAAATGATCTTCCTAGAGTAAGTTTTGCCTGAAGGAGTATATAGATAGTATACTCCTACAAGAATTGGTAAAATAAACATTACTAACAATCTTCCTCTCATATCGTGCCTAGGACCAGCAATACTATAAGTAAAAATAAAACCCAAAAGAACTCCTACACTTGCAAGAGTATACTATCCAATTACTCCCTCGGGAAAAATTTATATATGAATATCATTTAGATCCCAAATTTTGGAGATGTGATCTCTAGAACCCAGCAACCAGCTCAAAGGAAAAAACTAAAATAAAATAAAAAATAAAAAAATCTCACTCTCTATGTGCCTAAAAAATGGCATCTCAAGTTCATGTTGAAGCCATCCAAATTTTGGAGGGAATTATCTAGATGATCAAGAATTCGAAGTCCAATTTTATCATCTAGTATAATTAGATGGATCCCAATTTTTCAGATCACATAAAAACCAGCCAAGTAAGTGTCTTGGCAGAAATAGTACACATACAGTATGCTCCTGAGGGAGCGTAGTACGTGCACTCAAAATAGAAAAAGAAAGCTAAAAGGTCAAGGATTGACTTCAAAGAACATAGAACCGAGGCGGCAAAAGCACAGGTTCTGGAGTTGTAAATTTTTAATCAACATTTTCTTTAAAAAAAAAGAGAGGGAGCACATCCACACAGAAGTTTCGAGGCCCTAAAAATTTCTATAAAAAGGGGGGCAAAGTAGTATTGCTAACTCATGGCGTCCAAAGAGCAAAGAGTGAGGTTGTTGGGAAGTTTTCGTAGCCCATTTGTTCACAGGGTACAACTCGCCCTCAAACTGAAGGGAATTGAATACGAATACATAGAAGAAGATCTAAAAAATAAGAGTCCTCTTCTCTTGAAGGCAAACCCTGTGCACAAGAAGATCCCCGTGCTCATTCATGGTGACAAACCTGTTTGTGAATCGGTGGTGATATTAGAATACATAGAGGAAACCTGGCCGGAAAATCCTATTTTGCCCAAGGATCCCTATGACAGGGCTCAAGCTCGATTCTGGGCCAAGTTCATCGATGAGAAGGTAATATTTGTAATTCATTCTTATGCGATATATTGAAGGTCTTAAGACTCTTCAATCTTGACATGCAAGTTTCTAGATTGAATTTGTGGATTAGATTAGTACCAAGTATTTTCTCTTAATGAGTAGGTCTCAACCATGAGGTTGCTGTTACATATTGCCAATAAAAATGAAAAAGTGAGAGAAAGAATTATCAAAGATGCATCCTAGGTATTATGAAGGGCTGTTTTTGTTTTGGGCAAGCTTTCTATGCTCCCCTACCGCATAAAACTTATATGCTTTATTCTAATAAAAGAAAGCAACAAAAATACCCCTGAGAAGATGGCACGTACCAAATTTCATACTCATACAATTTGTATTAAAAAATTAAAAATGAAATGCTCTAAGGTGTTGGATGTAGGATCAAACGGTCTCACTTGATTAAAATTGGATGGCTGGAGGGTAAGAGAGGCATAGATAGTCTATGTTGTAGGGGAAGAATAGAAACCATTCCCTTTTTGGTTTATGATACACATATTAATCATCTCGACATCAAGATGCATAGATATGAGAAAAAAAAAAAGAAAAAAATATATAAAAAGGTGCAACCTTTCGGAGGGCCAAATATCCTCAAATATACAGTTGTTCGGAGGGCCAACAACCATTTTGGGCCATTTGAATGACCATAAAATTCTCAAATTCTTTGATTAATGGAAAAAGTATATAAAAACGTGCAACTTTTTTTTATTTTTTAAAGATGAGGTTGTAGTAATCTACACTTTTTCTTTATTTGGAGTAGATATATAGATTTGACAGTATCTTAAAAAGCATCACTTGTTGACCACCAAGCTAATCTGATTGACTTTGGGGATCCATTTGATAAACTGTGTCCAAACAGGTTTTGCTTGCCTGCTGGACTGCATACAGCACACAAGGGGTGCAACAGGCAAAGGCACTCGAGGAATTTCAAGAGAGCCTGAAAACCCTAGAAAGAGGGCTCAAGGGGAAGTTTTTCGGTGGAGAAAATATTGGATTTTTAGACATAGTAGCAAATTTTCTAAGCTTGTGGATGGGAGTTCTAGGGGAAGCTGCAAATATAGAGCATTATGATGCTGAGAAGACCCCACTTATTCATTCTTGGATTCAACAGATGAGTAGCAATGAGGTTGTGAAGGAGAGCCTTCCCTCTCGTGATAAGCTTCTTGCCAACTTCAAAGTTCGCCGTGAGGCCTTACTTGCTCCCCCAACTTCCTCCTAATCAAAGGAAAATGGTTTTAGTTAATTGTGTTATTTGGAGTTTTAAAATGTATTAGGTACGATAAAGGTTTGAGGTTTTCTCATAAAAGCAAGAAAAGGTAAAATCTTTCTTGTCTTATGTTTAAATAATGTAGGCCCCTAGCCGCATTATCTTTGAGCTTTTTTTAATGATATTAAATTGTGGTGCACTTTTGAGTTGCTTCTTTCATATGCACATTTACTATTGAGGAAGCACAAAAGAATAAACACGAGCTTGACTTCCAAATTTATTTTTAGATCTTTATCTAACTTTCTCTATCTCAAAGAAAGTACCTCTCTTTTTTTCTCTTTCTCTTTCTTTCTTTCTATATATATATATATATATATATATATATATATATAGAAATGATCTTATAATACCTTCCTCCACTCATGCGTGTAGGACTCCAAAGGATCACTATTAAATTTGGTACGGATCTATAGAAAAGACAAGTCATACACCCATGTAATAACTTTTTTAGAGATCCATGTCAATTTTAATGGTGATCATTTGGGGTCCTACACACATGAACGAGAGAGGGTCCTATTATATATATATATATATATATATATATATATTTATATTGTTAATAAAATAAAAATTTGCTAGTTTCTTCTCTTCACAAAACATTATGGTTGTTCCTCTCCCTCCCTCTATTTATACAAATTCGAGGTTATGATTATAACAAGTATTTTAAATTTCACTAATCCAAATTGGGAATTATTAGCCTAGTTGAAATAAGGAATTGAACGGATTTTGACAGATTCACACCCAATTGCGTTAGAGAAGTCGGTGCGTTGTTAGGGAAGCGGGTGATCCAAATTGATTGAGTGATACTAGTTTACACCTATTTTTATATTTTTATTTTCAAAATTAAAATTCTAATTTAGTGTTTTTGAGGACTAATCCTTACAATAGAGGATTAGACAGATTCTCACATCTAGATCACCAAGTCATTGATCTAGATTAGATTTTTAAAAGGCCGGTTCGCCCCAACAATTCTAATCCCCCCAGTCATCACCAATTTTATATTTTTATTATTTTTCATTTCATTATTTTCAAAATTCAAATTATTGTTCATCTTTTATTGGGCCCTATTTAACACCGGAGAATTGGTTTGGTTCTTCGATCTGCTGATCCAAACTAGATTTTGGGAATGCTGGTTTGCCTGGGAGATCTAGTATTTGAAACACTAATTATAACAACAATGTATCCATAAAAATTACCAAAGTCTTTGGATAAGACGATAAGAAAATGAATGATAAATAAATAACTAAACAAACAATAGAGAAAATAACTTCATGAGATCATTCAACTCAAACACGGCATGTCGACTTAAAGAAATGCAAATTAATCAAAAATATTATAACAGTTATGGTCAAGGTTTAAATATTCAGGACTCATGACTTGGCCCTTGTTAGAGGCAAGTAACTCAGGAGAGTCCACATGGACAAGCACAAGTACTATGCAAGCATGAAATTTCTTAAAAATATGCAAAACATAAAATAAAAATTTCCAAAAAAAAAGAAAAAAGAAAAAAAAGAGCTTGTTTTTTTTCTGGGTAAAGGGGAGGTGGAGTGTTTAGGAAGAGAGAGAGAGTGAGTATTGGGTCTTGTGTGAGAGAAAAATGAAACTGAGAGGATTTCCAAACCCCCTCGCCCCCCCTTAGAGAGAGAGAGATGTGCAACTTCTTGAGGTTGGATGTGGTCTTCTAGAACTGGATGACATCCATTCTATTGTGTAAGAAAGAGAGGGAGAGAGAAGGGGGCATCTTTCAGCCCCCTTCTAGAGAGAGAAACGAAAAGGGGTCATCATATTGCATCCCTTTTTAGAGAGAGAGGAATGGTAAAAAAAGGCGCGCTTTTAAAAAGAGTATAAGAGAGTGATGGAAACATGGGCAAATTTATGGCCAGATATTTTAGATGGAGAGAGAGGAGAAATAGCGGAGTTGGTGCCTCCTATTTTCTCTATTAAAAGTGTGTTTGGGACTTGGAACTTGCCTGAATTTTTTTTAGGGTAAATCCGTATACGGATCCTTTGAGGCTGAATAACTCAGACTGAGTCTACGTGGATTCGACTAAATTTTCCCTACCATTATATTTTGGATTTATTCAGATTGGAATTAACTCGATTAACTAGAAATCGTCACATTAATCATAATCAAAGCATAGAAGATGAAAATAATTGAAAATAGAGATAGAGAGAGGCGTGACAAACCTTCCATTCCAAAATCAATCGGCGAATTTGTGGTTTCATTTTCTTATAAGTTTCAGGGTGGGTCCAACAATATTCTGTCGCTTGTATATTTTCCAACTTCTATTGATAATATATAGTCAAAACATGGGGTACCCATGTCCAAAAGTCCTACCAGTTGATTGGAATTGCGTGGCTCTCGGTCTGGACCATCCCTAGTCTAATCAACATATTTTAAAAGGACAAGATTTATTTTGTAATTGTGAATTTCTTGTTCAACATATTTTAAAAGGACAAGATTTATTTCATTTTAGCTAAAATGACTTCTTGCTCCAGCGGTAGTGTACTGTTCATCTACTCCTTCAGGTAAAACTTAATTTAGGAATCTCTCTCAAATCCCAAATTTTGGGGAAATGATTTTACAACCCAACAACCAACTTTCAAAAAAATAAAAAATATTAAACCTCTCACTCTCTATGTGACTAAAAAAAAAACGGGTGATTGCATTAGAACCAGAGTGAATGAGCTAGATGTTCGAGAACTCAAATTCAATTTTGTTTTTTAGAAAATAATCATCCACTTCTATTAGATGGATCTCAAAATTTCAAATATAAAAAAAATCCCAAATAAGTGTTTTGCCGGAGGGAGCAATGGATATTATACTCCCGAAGGAGCATATTATACTAGCTCTTCATTTGATTAAAAGGTTAGGGAATGCTCATCTCTTATAACCCCTAAGGAAGAAACGATCATGTGTATTTTAAATACACCAAGGTTATTTTCATTGGATGGAGTTTTCATAAAACGGCCTTGTTAAAAAAATGTAAATCCTCACCTTGAAATCTTATAAAAGAAAAACACTTTGGGCATGGAAGCCCCTAAGATGGATCTAAAATCTTTTTCTACCCCTAGTTAACTATAACTAGTTATGAAATTTGTAGTTAAAAAAATGGTATACTTGAAAATGGGTGGTCCAAATAATGTAACACAATATACTAGTTTTAGGACATAAAATCCTAATTTTTCAAGCCATAACAATGAAGGTCAAGACGATTGATTTGAAGGTTTTTTTCGATGGCCCGAAACTATAATTTTTACTCAATTTTGAGGTGAGGCTTTACTTTTTTTTTGTTTTTTTTTTTTTCTACATAGCCTTAGCCTCATTTTAACGTTTACCATTTTAATTTGGACCATCCAATGCAACGAGGGAAAAATAAAATAAAATCTCATAATTCTCTCTCTCCTCTCTTTCTCCCCCATGGACTCATTCGTTGCTCATCTCTGTGAATCTTTAAAAACCTTCTTATTTAAAAGATAGAAGAGAGCGATGAAGGGGAAAAAAACAGCGCAATAGAGTTACTTCTGAATTCATTCTTTCATCATCTCTGCATGTCTTTCAAAACCTTTTTCGGAACGAGAAAAGATAATTAGAAAAAACAGGAGTTTAAGAGAGAGATGTAATTCCAGTGCGAAGGAACTCTATCTTTGCCTCTGCTTCCTGATACTCAAAATGGAGTTAACGCCAGTGCTTTACTGTTAGACGGTTGGAACAAAAATCACAGAGAAGAATTGTAGAAGGAAACGAAGGGTCGGATGGCTGCGACGGAGCAGGCGCAAAGAGTGATGGTATTGGGAGCATGGGGTAGCCCATATGTTCTTAGAATGCACAAGGTTATTGAGTATGAGTATATTGAAGAGGATATGAAGAATAAAAGTGGCCTCCTCTTAGAGTCCAACCCTGTTACAAGAAGGTCCCTGTGCTAATACATGGCCAAAATTCAGTGGCTGAATCATTGGTGATATTGGAATATTTAGAGGAAACATAGCCTGAAAATCCCCTCTTGCCAAAGGATCCATATGAGAAGGCCCAAGCCCGATTCTGGGCTAAGTTCATTGACGAAAAGGTCAATCTCAAAACATTGGCGTTGATAGGTTGGTCCAATTTAATAGAAGTTCTCAAATTGAAATCCTGTTTGGTTCAGTTTCAACTTCTAAGAAAATTACAATGAGTCGAAACCCATGGGCCTGAACCACCGGAGCAGGCTCGCTGGTTCTCAAAAGTTTTTCTCAAATGGAAGTAGGAAAAGATAAAAAACTGGTGAAAATTGGGGGCCTTAGATCCAGATTGGCACTCCACTGGTTCTGAACTTGCCTTGGCGATTCCATGTGATGACATTGTTTCCTGTGTTAAAAACCTTGTAAAACTCGGTTGACTCGGTACTGCCTAATCTGAGTGAACTCATCGAGTTTTTCGATTAGTTGGCAAAAACTTGATGAGTTTTTTTTTTTTGGCGAAGTTACAAACAAATGCAATTGCTCTTCAGGGTTCCCAACCAGAAATTCAAAAGTCGGCCTAGTTGACTCGTAGGCAGCATAGTAAGTCGGCCTAGGCACCTTGCTGAGTTATGAGTTTTTTTAGACAACCTCGGGTTTGTTAAAATCACTGGAAAAATATTAGATTTTGTTACCAAATCAGTAATAAGTGTTGTATAAATATGTTTCTATCTAATTTTTATGGTTTTTAGGACGATTCATAAATGTTTATTAGATTACTTAATTTTGTATTTTTTTAGATTTTTTTTTTTAAAAATAATCAATCTTCTATATACCTTTTTCATCTTTTATAAATTTTAATGATGTTTATAACATTTTTCTTTTTTTAAATTTAATTATTTTTAACAAAATTGTGTCTGTTTTGAAAAACATTGACAAATTTTTGAGCTCATGGAGGACTCCACGAGTTCACTTTGTTAATCGGCTCAGGATGAGCCAAGTCTTGAGCCTTATGCTTCTCAAACCACCCATCTATATGACAAGAAGAAGAAAACAACATTTAAACCAAAAACTCAGCTACATAGAAGCTTTACTGTTATATGACAAAATAACCAAGAGTGACGATTCTTAAAACCAAGGTTCAAATACACGGATTGGTGACCCAGATTGTCTATCTGGCAAATCGGTTTGGATCAGCGATCCAGCTGAGTGAACC